AAAACTTCTTCGAACGCTTACGAGACCGCTTCACCAGAACTGCAAGCAGAAAGGGAAAATCAAAACACTTCGTCAAAACACTTCATAATTCCCAAATCACACAAAATCTACCAGGAGACAAATCGAGTCTTTGGCAACTTTCAAATAGAAGTACATCCAACGCCAATCGCCGACCTTGCTCTTCACTTTATCGCAAATCTTATGGACAGATACCACATTCGTGCTACACAAACCCGGGTTGTCTTTAGAACTTGCCATAATAGTCGCCTCCTCGAAAAGGACAACATAAACAATAACGTTGCAAGAGGCCTCCAAAATCACCAAAACCACCGCATTACGAGTTGAAGCAATAGTAAGCTGCGACATGGCTATGCCACGTCTCGTGCAATAACTTGTAACAAACTCGTGAATCAGAAACCACAACACATCTTCGGTATGCGCATATGTAGCCATCCAGCGGAGTCCATGGTCGCTCGTGAGATTTTGGTTTCTTTACCTCCACGTCACCCGGAATGTCACATGCGTCAAACATAGACCTCTACGAGTCCGGGGTGCACAACGATGGTCTATAGTCAACAGGGGAAGAAGATTTTGCGACCCAAACGCTAATAAAGATCTGTTTGCAGCACCAAGTCTAAGAAGAACTGATCGATGAGGAGCTTCTCCAGAAGTATCCACAACAGCTTCTGAATTTATGAGACGGTTCATAGACTTCCCAATGTCGTGTCTTGAGACGGGAACCATCGTTTCGAGAAACTCATCCAATTCTCCGGAAGGTTCGTCTTCGATATCACCTGAAACCTCAGCAATGTCTCAACCGCAAAACGTCGACAAGCTTCAATCCCTCGTGTTGTTGTTGAAATTCCTTTAACGACGCGTTTGAGTAAAGATGATGTCCCCAAGGTATGTTTAGACCACCAAACCAAACACGATACGTGAACGTATAGCAAGCCACTCTCCTCGCCGAACCAGCTTCTCGTCAAACCAGCTCCTTTTCGAACCAGAGACGCTGGCCGAACCAATGTCACACTCATCGTCCACCTGCCGAGCCAACGAATCGGCCGAGCCAGCTGCCGAAATCAAGTCACGTCGGCGAATTGGGGTCTCCCTTTTCGAACTCACGAACCAAAATCAAATTCCTTGAGAACTCGTCTCACCTCGCCGAACCAACTCTTCCCTCGCGCGAGCCAACACCCACTCGCCGAATCAACCCCTCGTCGACGAACCAAAAATCTCTGCCGAATCAATTACTCTCCCGCCGAACCAGCTTCTCGCCCGTAAACCAGCTCGATCTTATCGTCGTAGCAGGTCTGCCGAACCAACGAGTCTGCCGAGCCAACGGGTCATGACTCACGCCGAATTAATAAGGTTGTCGAGCCAAGCCTTGTCGCCGAATAGTTAAAAATATAAAAGAAGTTAAAAAAAAAGAGGATCAATAATTAAAAATTTAGTTTTCTCTCTTGAATGCTTGCAAAGTTACAAGCAAGTCCCTAACTCTATAGGTTGGCTATAGGAAGCTACAATTGCTCTGAGCAAATATCTGACTATATCTTAATTGCGCTGACATTTGGAAGGGGGAGGGTTCTTATGCACATGGTAAGATAGTTATTATACGGATAATGATGTGTTTGAATTTTACTCATTTTAACACTAGTTTTATGCATTGTTTTTGTCATTTTAGGTCTCACTCTTTGATCATTTATACATATTTACCTTGTTTTGCTTCACTTATAGTATCTAAGCCTTGCATTGCATGCATTGTAGTTTTTGTGCATAAACAGGTGTTTACCAGAAGGAAAAGGAGCAAAACAAGCTTAATCGACCAAGTGTAGATGATGCATCAGATCGAGCATGAGGATCCGAGCAGTGGAAACGATCGAGTGCCCAAGTGAACCAGAGCAGCAATCGACCACCCATCCGATCGAGCCATCCGACCAGACCGATCGAGTGCTCGACCGAGCAGACCGATCGAGCACCTTTAAACCGACTTTCTATTTTGTCTGTTAGTGTTTTAGCGCTACCTAATCTCACTATAAAAAGGCTCTTTGCCTAATGACTTGATATATCGAGTTGTATTAGGGTTTATCTTTATTTTGCTTTAGAATTTCCAGAATCTTGCAACTTTCATAACTTTTGATCTATTGAGTATTTTGTGTTGCTTCATTGAATTATTTTGCTTATCTCTCTTAGATATATCTACTTATGCATGATTTAGAGATTTCTAGGTTTGTGTTCTTGATGATGAATCTCAAATCTGAGTAGATTCATTAGGTTTTGGGGATGAGCTAGATGTAGGTGGAGAACTTTAGGTAGCTTGGTTGCCCATAGGTAGAAATGTTTAGATTTCCTTCTGGATTAGTGTATATAACACTAATCCCATTCTGATCAAGTGGTGATTAGCTTTCAGGCTTCCACGCCTGAGAGGTGTTCGATGGAATGCCGGATAATCTAATGCCAGAGAATTTCATGTCTAGCCCAAGAGATTAGTTGTCTAGAGTGTTATTTTACATTAATGCGTTGATTCTTAATGTCTATTCATTTCATGTTTCATCAACCAGAAGTTGAGATTAGGAAGTGATTTGAGTTTGATAGCCTTTGTCAAGAGATTGAACTGGTTAGCTTATGAGCTTGTTGTCTAGGGAACATCACTGTTAGTGTTTGATTGATTTAGAAACCTAGTGAACTTAAAGGTCTCCACTGAAGTCACCATCTCATCCCCGGAACCTCCCTTTAATTGATTGATTACCTTGCTTAATTTATGTTTATGCATTTCTAGTTTATTGCATGTTTTTGCTTTTGTAGTTTCATTTATGTTCTAATGTTGTGTCTTGCTTAGTTCTTACTTGTTTTCAATTCAGTAGTTGGTAGTCTAAAACTTTTTCTGCTTGGCTTAACTTGTTAATCAGTGAGTGCATCTAAACTGCTTGCATGCGTCCTTATGGATCAATAAAGCCCTTTATACTACAATTATACTGGGTGATTGATACCATTAGCAAAAATCTTGTTATCAGATAATAATATTTATATTAACATGCTAAGTTGGTATGTTAAGTTATTCAATATTCTGTAAATTAAAATTTTAGCATGCTAACTTATTCAATATCCGATAAATTGAAATTTCGAATATTCGATCATTTAACAATTATCTACTATCTACAGGTTATCGGGTGGAGTAACCGAAGTTTTGTCTCTGACCACCGGATGATTCTTCCTCTGGCATAACATATTAAATATCTTAATAATCACCAAGTGCTAATAGCTCAATTGGTAAAGATCTCTGGCAAAAGCTCAGAGGTCGCCGGTTCCAGTAGCGCTTGGGACGAAACCATATAACGTGCTCTGGTTTCGGGCCTTAGAGGATGTATGGGCTTCGGCCCAGAACCTCTTTGATTATTCAAAAAAAAAGAAATCTTAATAATCTCATATATAATAGTTGTTATACAAATAATATTTATATTAACAGGATAAGCTAATATGCTATATTCGATAAATTGAAATTTATAAAGCTAAGTTATTCAATTTTGACTAACTTATTCAATACAGAAATGGAGGGGTGGCAGTCGCAGGAGCTGTTGATCCCTCATGCGAATTCACTGTAGCGGACGAGTTCTCCTCGGAGGCCAATGAGACAAACAATTTGAGAATCAAGGAAGCAGTTGAAGTGAGGAACGGTGAGAGAAAAATAGAACGGCGAGAGAAAGCGGCTCGGGTTGGAAGATCGGAATCAGAAAGAACAATGATGGATAGAGAATTATTCTTCTCATTAGTGAGTTTGATCGGAAAATGAAAGCCACGGAAATGGCGACGGTGCAGACGAGGGAGGAGCAAGGGTAGTGAAATAATGGTTGAGAAACGAAGAGATCATTTATTGTGAGCTTCATTTTCATAGAAGAGCAGAGAGCTCCGTTTGTACACGTCAGCTTTATCACACACACAACATCACGTGCGCCGATACAAATTATAAGAGAGGAGCTTGAAATTTATTTTATTCACTGTTAAAAACAATAACTTAGTCTTTAGGGGGAGTTTTAGGGTTAGAAGGGTCTTGAACAAAGGTAGCAAATGATCACAACATCGGAGACATATTTTTAACTAAACGGTCAACTAAGCCTATGAAGTATAAATTCCCATATGCCTATTAAAACCTTTGTATTTATTCCGCAACATGTATCTCTCGTAAAACACTTTGAGTGTAGAGTTTTTGGCTGAAAATTATCTCAAAAGAAAAAAAAATATTTGATGCTATTTTTTGCATATATTTGTGAGACTAAAAAAAATTAGTAAGGATGTAGATTTGCATCAAATAATAGTGAACCTAATTCCAAATTTGAAAACCGATCTCCTTTTTTAATTACTTAAAGGTACGTTAAAAAGAATAGTATGGTTGACGGGTTCATATATTTTACTTGTATAAATCTACTGAAATGATATTGTAGCAACAATGCAAAAATATAATTTTCATTAATAAAATTAAAATTACAAGTTTAATCTAAAAGTAAGTTAACTAAGGGTGTAGATTTTACAGAATTTTGACTGTTTTTTTTGTACAATTTTGGTTTTAGGTTGGGTTTGGTGTATTTTTAAAGGTTTTTAAAATGAAAAAACATTATGGAACTTAGTAGAAGTAAGCTTTCCAATCCTGATTTTCAATTTTGGTTCACATTTTTAGGTTTACAAATGATAGTAATGAAAGTTAAGCTTAATTATGATTTTTTTTGTTCATATTTGGACTTTTTTTTTCAAAACAAAAATGAATCGATTTAATACATCAGTTTTCTTTTTTATATTCGTATTTAATTTTCTTATAAAAAAAACTGATTCTATTTAAACATTATTTGTTCCAAAAAAAAAACCTAAGTAAAATTTGATATGGGTTTTCATTTTAATTATTTACAAAAGATTTTCAATACAATTTTTGTATATATTATAGTAGCTAAAATATATATTATTTTATTTTAGATGAGAATCATGATTTATTTTGGATAAAACCCAAGAAAAAATAAAACACATAACATTAGAACCAGAAGTAAGCAGCAATGGCGACATCTGTTGCGACTCTATCTTCTCCTCCACCAGTATCTCTACCTCTCTCATCATCTCGCTCTTCCTTCTTCTCCAATTGCTTCACAGTACCAACCCGACAAAACTACCGTTCTTTGGTAGCGATTCGACCAAAAATCCGACCGGAACAGACGAGAAAGCCACTCACTTGTAATGCCCTGTTTGGTCTCGGTGTGCCTGAACTCGCTGTGATTGCTGGCGTCGCTGCGTTGCTTTTTGGACCTAAGAAGCTTCCTGAGATTGGGAAAAGTATTGGGAAAACTGTTAAAAGCTTTCAACAGGTTTGTTTGATAAAAAAAGTTTGGAACTTTATATGCAATTTCAGTGATTGTTGTTGAATTATGTGTTTTTGGGAAATTTCTACTATAAGTTCTTAGTTTCGTATGAGTTGTGTCTGAATTAGCTTTCAATAGGTTTGTTTGATAGAAATTGGAAAAAAAATTGGGAACTTTATATGCAATTCTGGAGTTTTCTTGTTGATTGTTGTTGAAATTGATGTAAAGGGCTTAGTTATTGTCTCTGGATTTATGAGGAATTGATAAGAAGACTCAAAAAAGTTATGCAATTATGGAGATTTCTTGTGCTAAGTTATGTGAAAAGCTTGTTTGTTGTTGGTACTGATGTAAAAGGTCTTAGTTTTGTGTAGATATGTGTGGAGATTATAAGAATACTAAGAAAGATTGGAAATTTAGTGGCTATAACTTTGCACTGTATATTTGTATAGATCAAGAAATGAAACATTCATTTGCTTATACACATTGAGTTATATGCTCTGGAGTTTTCTTATGCCAAGTTATGTGAAAAAGCTTGTTGGAGTTCATGATTAGAAGGTCTTAAGAAGGTCTTAGTAACTGCTTAGTTCTGTGTGGAATTGATAAGAACACTAAGAAAGATTGGAAACTGAGTAGGTAACTTTGCTATATAGAACATTGATTTGCTTCTAAACAGTAAGTTTATTGATAACTTTGTTGTATAGTATAGATGAATACATGTTGTTATGTTTGGTTAATCTCTTTCCAAAAACCCAATCGCACGGGCTGCTTGTCATTTGGTTATGGCTAATATGATTGTCTGGAATATATATAGCTTCTTGTTGTATGTTTTTCGTGTTCCTTTTATCGGTTTACTTGCATTGATAAAGCATTGTGCATGTTTGGTATAATGCAGGCAGCAAAAGAGTTTTGAGTCTGAGCTTTGATTTGGTTATGGCTAATTTGGTTGTCTGCGATATATAGTTTCTTGTCATATGTTTTTTGTGTTCCTTTTATCGGTTTACTTGTTTTGTTGAAGCATTGTGTGTGTTTGGCATCATGCAGGCTGCAAAAGAGTTTGAGTCTGAGCTTAAGACGGAACCTGAAGACTCTGTTACTGACTCATCGCCAGTAGCAATGAGTAACAAAGAAGAGGAGAAAAAAAATGAGGTTTCTTCAAGCTCAAAAGAGAATGTATGAAGATGAGACTTTAGTGTTTGCTTTTTCCTTGTAGCTACAACAATTTTATGTGATGATGAGTTTTAGATGAAATACTCACTTTGGAAGAAAACGAAATTATAGCCTTCCAATGAAAGTATAATCAGTTTGTGTTTTAAATCCATAAAACTCTCTTACGTGAAAGGAAATGATTCGCAGAAAACTATTTGAGAATGCACAATCAAAATTCAAGACAGTGTCGAAATAAGACAAAACAGAATACAAAGTTCCTCCCTAAGTTCTTGTTTCTGGATTTTACAATTAAGTTTAGAACCAGAATCACAAGCACAACACTAATGTGTTCACTGAGTAAGCTTCTGTCTCTTCATCCTCTCTAGAGCACCTAGTTTCTGGGCTGGACCGTCTTGACCATTTTCTTCGACGTCTTCGTCTCTCTTTCGGGCAAGTCCTCCGAAAACAGCAGCAGGGACTTCTTTCTGAGCGATCTCTACTTGGTCTTCCCCATCAGACTCATCATCACTTTCATCGGGAAGTTCGATGTCTTCTCCGTTCCCTGTGACTGGTTTCCCCGCATTCTCGCCAGACTGTGAGATGACTCCTGCGCTTACAAACCCAAGTCTTCTTACACCATCCTTCATTGCATCTGTGTTCGTAGTTGTTGTAGTCAAAAGCTGCCTCTCTAGAGCAGCCATCTCGTCTTCTTGTAAGCCTGCTTTCTTCAGCTCATCTTTTGCCTCATCCACATCTACCATCTTGTCCTTTTGCATCATGTTCTCTGGTAGAATGAAATGAGTCTGAAACAAAACAATCGAATATAATCAGTTCCCAACTCTTAGTAAATGAATTCTCAGAATTGACGAAAAAAAATTGCTTCTCTGAGAGCTGAAAACAATGGAGACTGATACTAACCTGACTGTAGCTTGCAGAAACACTTCGCTTGATACGGAGCATTTCTCTGTAGGTATCCTCATTTCCGTGTTGGACTTCGAACTCATGCCACTTGTTCCAGAACTCAGGGTCGGACCTTGGGTCTGCAAACTGAGAGGCATACTTGTAGAGTGCACGAGCACGATCAATTTCTCCCAAGCTTCTCTCCAGCTCTGCAAATTTTATGCACATGATCTTCACATCCTTGTGTGGAAGCCCAGATTCAATTGCTTGCTCATATATCTCCCTTGTTCTGGGAACACCAAATATCTCTGCTGCACGGGAAATGTATATCTCATACATCTCAAGCTTCTGAACTTCTGGAACTTTTTTGGTTGCTTCCTCATAAACCTTCATGGCTCGCTTGGCCAAACCATAATCCTCTTCTAGCTTAGCATACTGAAGGTATAAGGTCCTGACAACATCAGATGGAGCCTGAAAGAAAGATAAATCACAGGTTACATCACACACAATATCACAACATCAACAGACAAGTTCTCTACGCAGCTATATATTTAAAAGCAGTTAACTTAGGTGCTTATTTGATCAGATCTGTGGCAGGAAAAACAAAAACAGCGATTTGACCAGCATGGGTAAACGGACAGATGAGCTTACCATTGAAACAGCATGCTCAAACAGCTCTCTTGCCCGCTCCAGCTTTGTCTTCCCGTATCTTTTCACAAACTTTGTAAGATAAGTTACCCATATGTCTTTCACATGAGGATACTTGAATATCTTGACACCTCTTTCATACACCTTGAACGCATCTTCAAAGTACTTATTTTCCTCAAGAAGGAAAGCATAATTCAATATAATCTGAGGTGTAGCTATTCTCAAATCCAATATTTTCTCATAGACTGCTCTTGTCGATTCTAAAGTCCCCAGACTTTCCTCTAAATCAACATAAAAGGACCAAAGCCGCAACGCTCTATGTAGCTTCATCTGGACAGGTTCATTGCCATCAGCAGCGACTCTCCGTCTGACTTCTACAGTCGGTACAGCTGTAGCACGCCTCATCAGCTCTAATGCTCCTTTGAAATTCTTGTGTCTCAGCTCCATCTCAGCCCACTCACACCACACACTGGCTAGATGATCTACGGTTTTGTAGTTTACCTGGACTGCTTTGTCAAAAATCACTCTTGTATTGACCAGGTCTTTATGGTTTTCATACAACTTGGCAAAAGCAACCCACAATGTGTGAGGCTTCCCAACAGCTTTCATAGGATCCACAGTCCTCACTGCTTCTGTGTATGTGAGAATCTGCTTTGCTGCGTTTCCCTCAAATAATTTGACTCTGCGATGCCACTGTTCAACATTGTGCGGATTTTGCCTAAGGAGCACACTGTTTGCCAGTGCAGGCCTTCTTTCCATCAGTTCTTCCAAGCGAGCCAATCTCAGATCAACATCATTATCATCATTCAACCAAAACCCATTCAGTATCTTCCTCTGCAGCTCTTTAACCGACAGATTAAAATTGAGACGGACATCCTCATCATCGTCCTCTACACCATTCTCTTCATTCTCATCTTCTTCATCACTTGAACTCATCATCTCCATCCTTTTCGCAACAGTACTTTCCTCAAATCGTGAGTAAACATCAAATATAACACTGAAATCTCTCACAGTAACCACTTTCATCATACCCTCCTCATAGATATCCCTAGCTTTCTCCAGCAAATTCTTCCTGATATAATAATCCGCAAGAGAAGTCCACAGCATTCCCACTTCATCTGTAAACTTCCTAATACCACCTCTGATAATAGCATCAACATTAAGACCCGAAATAACATTGGCATGGTGAACAAGAAGCTCACACAACTCCATCCACAGTTTATGCTTCGTCTTCCCTTTAATAGAATAAAACTTATCATCATTCAACACAGAAGCCAATCTCTCAGCAGACTCTTGCCAACGCTCTGACTTCACAAGAAACTCAATAAACTCCTCAATATGACTAGGATCATACATAAGATACCTCCTATAAACCCTAAGTGAAGTCTCAATAGGAATCCCATCCTGACTCACAAACACAAGATACGGTTCCCAAATCCTATCATGTTGAGTAACCGGCAAAGCACAAAGCGCACGGTCAAAATTTCTCCTAGTCCGAGTAACCAATCTCTGAACCGTAAGAGTCTGAAGATACATAACCCAAATCCTAGGCATCTTATGCATAGTAACTAAAGCTCTCTCAAAAGTATTGTTGAGAGAATCATACTGAGGATGAGTAACTGGTAAATTCCTAACGATATCAAGCCGTTCTCTAAGATAAGCATACCACAATTTATAACTCCCAGGAAGAGCTTTCAAAGCTCTCTCGTAGATAACGAAACGTTTCTTGAACGGCGACTCAGCTTTCGCAATGAGGTACCTCCACCATAGCTTCAAACTAAACGGATTCCTCAATATCTCTTCTTCGTAAAGAAGATCTTCCTGAGAAGGATAGAGATCTTTGGAAATCGCCATTTGAGATCTACAAAAAAGAGTATGAGGGATTTGAGAGCTTTGTTCAATGAAACTACAGTTGAGTTGCGAAAGCTTGATTAGACTGAGAAGCTTTACCTGCGGCACTGTGAGGAAGTAATCACCGGCGATTTGCTGACTCGCAGCGACGATGAAGGGTTTGTTTCACCGGCGTGAAGGTATTTTAGGTTTGGGGAAAGAACGATAAGTGTTTTTTTGTTTTTTTTTTCAACTACCTAAGTGTTTTATAGCTTATAAGTATATTTCTGATATTACAAAATTATCCTTACTCTGATTCATTAGTATAACTAGAGGGAAAATTACCAAATAAATAAAAATGTGTAACTTAATAAATATATAAAAATATTGTTATTTACATGTCTATGTAACAAACAAAAAAATCTGAGACTTCAAATGGTTGCACAATTTAAAAGGTCGAAGAAGTTGAAAAATAATATTCAGTCAAATTTCACCATTTGAGTTGAAAAAGTTGAAAAAGTTATTTAGTTCATTCAACCTAAAAATTTGAAAAATTGAACAATTTACAAAGGAAAAATGTTCAACTTGTTCATCCACAATTCTGGAGATGAATGAGTTGAATGATATTCAATCCAATTTTATTTAACTTAATATTTCCAACCTATTAAATTTTGTGCAACCATTTGTAGCCTGATTTTTCCATTATGCTTTCTTAATTATTACTAGACGATGACTCGATGTGCGGGTGTATTTTAAAAGCATAAATTGTTGATTTAGTTATCTTAAATATTGTATTGTGATTTGGTTATTTAATAAGTTTATATTATTTCATATAGTTGAAGAAATAATGACTGCATTTTTTAAAATGGAGTAGTAGTATATAAAATGTTGAATTCGAAAAGTATTAATGAGCGGCCTATGACTGTAACACCCGTGTCTGAAATTTTGGTGGTGTCGATCGACACCAGTGTGGGGTGTCGATCGACACCAACAAAATTGGGTTAGACGGTTTAGCTTTTAAACTGTCGGTTTAATTGGAATTGATTGGAGAAATCCTAGGCACGACTTTAAACTCGTGGAAGCAGCATTTCTTTCTTACTTTTGGCTTTTGTCGCTTCTTGAAAACAAAAGAGAGAGAGCACTACAAGAATATAGGTTTTTCTTAGCATCTGAATAACGCTATCTTACTATAGTATAGCGTTTTTACAAGCGCTAGATCTGCGCCCATCATCATAGATCAGACACTTTAGATAGCGGTTTTTCTCTATCCTATTGTATAGTAATATATAATAGCACTTATTTGTCAGCAATTAAATAATTTATCATAGCGTGTTTCTTTTGTCATTATTTACCTTTTTAACAACGGTTTTAATTTGTTATTTAAATTATATCTATAGCGTTTATAAAAAATGTAATCATCGCAACGTATTATATATTAAATATATATATTAATTTATATTTATATTTAATCGATTACTCATATGAAAAATACTTCATTATCACCAACCAAAACATAAACATAAGTTTTACATAACAAACACAAAGATTAGAAATTCAAAGTACTACATCAACCTCAAATGTTTCACTAGGTACTATTGTTTCAGATATATATCATCTTATCATCAGGCCAAGCCATTGTGGTTCCTACTGCATCAGCTATGAATTCAACTTCAAAATTTTGTCTCCACACTTTTGCAGTGTCAACCTTGGAAAAATGCAAGGTTAGGAGGTATATAGAGGAAGAAAAATGAAGTTGTAATATACCTCTGAGTCAACAGTGTTAGGAGGTTGGGTTAACTCTTCTTCATCGTCCAAAATTATCTTGTCAGAGGGCCAAGCGATTTTACTTCCAATAGCTTGACTAAGTGAGACAATGGATTGGGTAGGTCTCCAGACTTATGCTTCAAGGTTTGATGCAGAGTTCACAATTACAGCAGCTGCATTAGGACCTAATGGAATTCGACCAATCTTATATGTTGGTTCACTTGAGCAGAATTCTCCTTCACCAACAACCACCTCATCACTTGAATACCAATCCAATAGCTGGCACCTAATTCCTCCTTTTCTACCATCACTTAAGTCAGATTTGGAAACATGAACATTTTGTCTCTGCAAAGACAACAAGACCAACACATAAATTCCAGACAAATTGAATATAAAAGTTCACAGTGTTCAAAAATAAGTGTGGAAATTTACCTTATAACCAACTAAGTCACTAACCACGTTCTGCAAATCTTTAAGCTTACTAAGTAATTCTGTTTGGGTAGCTTCAAGCTTTTGGACATGTGAGCCTCTAGTCTGTAGGGATGCCAACTTGGTAATAGTAGCACCTTTTTGGTTTGTCTTTTCCTATTACTTGACTCACAACATCTTCCCTTACATTATATGTGGATGTGGAGCTCATTTCACTATCAATTGTCTTGATCTTTTCCTAAAATCAAAGAGTAAAATACTTTTAAAATACTTTAAAAATACCAGAAGAACATACATTTATAAGATTTAAATTGATTCTTACAATTGTTTCTGCAAATTCTTCCCTCACTGGTCTCCCATCCCAATGTGTATGTCCTGCGACCCACACCTTACTTCTAGTAACTTTCCTTGGATCATAACTTTTTTTTTCTACAAGTTCATGCAAATGATTATCATAACATCATTCAATATAAAATTCGCACATAACCAATTCACTATAGCATACATACCATATCATGAGCTATTTGAGTCATTCCTTTGCGGCTGGTAGTGTGAGGAATTGGACCCTTCCTGAGTTGCCTGTATTTTTCACTTTGTTCCTAATGACAGAAAAAGTTAGTTTAGCATAGTTAATATCCAAAATAGATTACTAATAAGCAATATACATTTACTAATAACCTTAAAAGCTTGGCTATTCTTCTCCTTCACCCAACTGTTCCAAGCAGATGCACATTGGATGTTGCTAGGCTTTAGTTGCTGTAGTTCAAGCTTGCTTTTAGTAGCTCTAACTTTGGTAACAAGCTTAAATTTAGAAGCCCTCCACAAAGCACCCATCTGCCTAAAGACTACATCTTTTTGCCAATCTTCTTTTAAATTGAACCTCCCCTGTCAAACATCCATAAGTTAAACATAGAACATATATAGAAACAGTGTAGGCAGACATACATATTTATTCAAGTATAAGAGAAAATAACCTGAAATTTCAGGGATTGATGAAGTTTCCGATGTATAAGAGAAAATAACCTGAAATTTCAGGGACTGATGAAATTTCCCCATCGGAAACTTGTGCAACCCTATAAATGTCACATTAACCATGAATATGTTTGGGCTCGATGCATAGAAGGAAAACAAATGATTTCCCAACTAAAGCTTTGATCGGATCTGGCAAATTTGTAAGATCTTCAAACTATATAATCATTGAGTTAGTAAAGTATTTTGATGAAATTTTTATTTAGTATAATGTTAATACATAATATATTAGATCCAATGACCCTTTAGGTATGATTTCAGTTGCAGCCGTCCCAACGATTTCTTCAGCAAAATTGTCAAAGATCATAATTCTTGTCTCACCAGTATGGTCCATGACATTAATGTGAATCCAGAACCTTATTATATGATAATGACAACACATATCAATATCAATACTAAATAAAATGACTCAACTTTCATCATATTATGAAAAGATTTTGTTTCAAAAAAACTCACTTTGGAGTTACGCCTTTAGCGTAATTTTTACAGACCTCACACCAGAATTTTGATATAGGGTTTTGTTTTAACATCTTCCAGCTTAATGACGTCCTCCTTAATGGTTTTTTGTTGCATTTTTGACATGCATAATAGAACCAAGAATAGTCGGTATCATTTTCTTTAACCGTACAAAGAGTGCGACACGATCCTACCTAAAATCTTGTAAATGGACATGTGAGTAGAATGGATTGTAAGATAAAACATCTTCTTAAAATAATTAAACGAAAATATGAAACCACCTCAGTTGCTTGCAGCAGTTCCTCAATAGTCATGATAGGATACTCATCCATGTCTTCTTTTTTAGTACGACCAAAGAAGACAGTTGTTTGTAAGTTACCCACGACCTTCGATTCCGAACCATCACTGGTAAGGCTGTTTACATAATATTAAAATAAAATGATATTAGTTATAACATTTATAGAGTAGATAATTACTAATATTAATCTTTTTCGGAAACATACATTTTCTTAATGTCTATAAACATAGGTATGGCCATATTAGTAAGCAATTGTCATGAGTCATAAGAATTAGAAACACTCCAAACATCTGAATTAGTGAATAAATATATATGCTTGTAATTGCGAAAGTCTTTTAGTCTGTATACAAGATATATTTTGATGTAAAACCATATGTCACGTAAATTGACTTTGGCAAATCGTATCAAACAAAATACATTACCATCCGTCGATTCTTGACATGCTTGACTTAGTGATTCAGCAAATTTTTCCCATAGTGTACATAACACCCGAGTACCCCTAGTATAGCAAATAATTAATATTTGAAAATAATAGAAATATGTCCTACCAAGTATTTTTATGAATTGCTAATTTAAACTTGAAAATTTGTAAGCTTACTCGTTGTTTCTCAAGTGAAAGTCAATCTTCTTGGTACGCTTAGTAGAAGTAGGAATATCTTGAATCTCACCACAATCATCGACTTGGTCCAAAAAGTCTGTAATGTGAAAAGTAAGAAAAAATATTTATAGATTTTAACTAAACATTTAATTTAATTTCAAACTAATAAAAACATAACTAACCGAATAAATAACTCTTGTTTTGTTTCCCATTAAGAACGTCATCATAACTGGCCAATTGAAGAAACATATCGTCGGAAATGTTTTTACGAATGCAATGTAAAACATATCGTCGGAATTGAATGAAATGTTTTTAGGAAAAAACTAAAATTACGAATGCAATTACAGAACACCGTTAAAGGTAGTTCATAATCGTAATTAGTTTTACCTCAAAAATAATATATGGTTTTACACTTATAAGCAAAAAAATTGGTAGTAATATTAGTTTATGTTATAAATGCTATAGCGAATAAATATATCTACAAATACAATCCTACATTTATGTGTAAGTCTAAATCGTTGACCTATTTTCTTATCTGTTTGACTAAAATATACAGTCTCAAATGGGTAATTAATTAAAATGTTTATGAGATGGAAAAACATGACATATTAAGACGCACGGGACAAGATTTATGTCCAAAAATTGAAATTATAGATCTTTTA